CGTTTTCGGTTCTTCTGATACCATTACTAGCACTTTGGGTTTCTTTGGTGGTGGAAAGGGAGATACTTTTCATAAAAACCTCAGGTTCTTAAAAATAAAATACTTAAGTCATTACCTTTGAACTTTTTTAGATGTAGATGATGGTGTGTTAGGCTGGACTCAATGGATTTTTTTTTTTTTTTTTTTTTAAGACTTTGAATTGAGCCTTACCACCTCCATTCCCTTAACAAAGTTATCTTCTACATGGCTCTCAAAAACAGTGGCCTGTTCCTTTGTGTGTAGCTGTATATCCATGGGAATTCTTCTCTTGGTTGCTGTCTTAGTACCTCCTCTATGTGCCTGTGTGTACATATACATTCTAAACCCTAAAACATCAGGAACATCTGTGAAGATTTGAGTGATAGATACCAGGCTGTGCTGTAGGAACAGACTGGTACTGGTCTGGGACCTGAACCAACCTTCATGAGATCTTAAGAAACCCGATGTATATAGTTATTTATATACTGTTACAGGTGGTTATGTGAGTGTAATAAAGAAATTTTCATAAAACCTACTAGTTTGTTGAAAGGTGAAGCTAGCTGTGAAGTAAAAACCAGATTAAAAAACAGATTTTTAGTTGAACGCCACTTCTCTACTTATTTCCAGAGTTAAGTAGACATTTTGTTTTTATTTTTATATTCACTGGTTTTGCCACTAATTGTGTTTTTGGTTGCAAGTGTATATATCATATGCTACTGGTATTCATGGTTTATGTAATACATGTTATATCATTGGCTATGAACTCTTTTATTTCTCTTGTCACTACTTCAGTCACAGTGCCAATAACTGTGCCAGGCATTGCAGTAAGTAGTTAATATTGTTAAATGAATGAATGTGAATACTTGGTTGTATCACTTGAGTCCTCAAGAATGCTGCTTTATTTTAGCCTTTTTGTGGATGTATGTGTGCAGGTCTTATACTCTGACCAGATTGGAAGTGTACTTTGAATAGAGACTTGGTTGTAATTATCTTTTATATAGCCTCTTTTACAATAATTTGGCCTGTGGTAGGCAGTACATATTCCCAACACATGATTGAACTAAAACATGTTGGTGGATTTTATGTACTTAACAGGAAAATGCTAAAAATACAGTCATAAATAAAGAATTTGGAAGAGATTCAAAACCTCGCATGTGCTCATACATTGGCTTATAGGCTTGTGTAAGACTCCATGTTTCTGTGCAATAAAAAGCCTAGGTTATGGGACAGTTCTGTACCTTGCTCCTTATTGACCCTTTGCTTCATTTTTGGCCTAATAAAAAGATGACGTTAGTTAGTGATTTCCAAATGTCCCAGATGAGCAGCGTTCACACCACCAGGGTGGGTACATGGAAACACAGATTTCTAGGTCCATCTGCAGGCCTCTGGAACCAGAAACCTGGAGTGGAGCCCAGACAGTCTGTGTTTTAACAAGTCCTGTTGGTGTCACCAAGTGATAGCACCGTCCTTAAGCAAGAGGGCTAGAGGTAATAGTTATGTGCTAGAGAAAAAAGTACGAGCATTTTACATTAATCAAGGAATAAGCCTGGGTCCATGGGACCCATCCCTTACTTTTCCACTGTTTACACTTTAGCATATAGTTGCCAGCTGTGCATCTCAGAGCCTTTCCCTGAGGAATACAAGGAGCAATCTGTGTGTTTACTCATTTGGTGTGATGAATGGCAAGGAGTATACACATGTGCAAAACTGACAGAATGAGATTTGGACCCACCCTTATCTCCATGGAACAGTTTTTGTGTATGTTTACCCAAGCATCACAGAGGATCCAGTAGACCACACCACTCTAGGATTTGTTTTTTTAAAAAAAGTTTACTTTTGATTTTTCTGGTAGAAATAGCCTGGTTCAGTACAGTGGCACATGAAAACCAGATTTGCAAGTTTTGGAGGAGGTGAAAAGTGAATCATTAAGCCAGGCATGGTGCCACATGCCTGTAATCCTAGCAGTCGCCTGTAAACCTGGCATTTGGGAGGCTGAGGCAGGAGGATCACTATGAGTTCAAGGCCAGCCTGAACTGCACAGTGAAACCCTGTCTCAAAAGGACCCAAAAAAAAAGAATCGTCAAATTACTTAGGCATCGATGATGAAGATGATCCATTATGGTAAAATACATGCATTCATAACAGAAGAGTGGTGTGGTGATGTATGGTGATGATGTTAACTTTGACACTGGCTGTGTGAGCCAAAGTTCCTATGACAGTGAAATGGAACAAGAATCAACTGAAACAGACACAGGGAATGCAGACCTCCTTGATTCAGATGAGGAAGAAAACAGCAATGTGAGTACACATGTGACTAGTCAAAATGTTGCAAAATGGCCACACACCAACCAAATGGATCCATCCAATGTTAGAAGTAGGTCTGAAAATATAGTGAAGATCTTTGCAGGGGTGAAACATTGGACAGAATGCCAGCACTGCCATTCAGTGTTGAAAATTGTAACAGACGAAATGCTGCGAGATGCTTTGAAATACACAAAGGCTGAAATGTAGGTAAAATGTTCTGTGTGCACCAATAGCCATATTTAAAAATGTATTTATTATGACACCTCACTAGCTCAACTGAAAGCATTCATAGGTCTGCTGTACTTAGCACGGATTTCTTATGGTGATCACAGGAATGTAAAAAGATATATGGAAAAGTGATGGGTCAAAATATGGCGTAAAAATTCATGCCCTTGTAGATGCGAAGACTCATTATACTTTCAATTTAGACATTTATCCTGGAACTCAGCCATCAGGTCCTTATTTGTATAGTAATGAACCAAATAATGTGAACAGACTTAGAGGGAGAGGGAGAGGGAGAGGGTTGCTCCCATATCCCAAACTAATCGGAACGTGACATTGGACGATTGGTTTCCTACCAGTTGATGTTTCAGAGCACAAGTTGACTAGTGCAGGAACCGTACACAGGAAAAAACAGAAATTCCAAATGAAATGTTGCAATTTCAAAACAGAGACGTGCATAGTTCAGTGTTTGAATTTCACAAAAATGTAACATTGGCCCCATATACGGCAAAGAAAAGTACACTGGTATGGCTGATGTCAACATTTCACCCTACTGGCAATACTGATAGGAAAATCTCAACAAAATGGAAGCCTGACATGAAAACTTTCAACAACAAAACCAAATGTGAAGTAGATGTTGATGAATTATGCAGCAACTGTGATGTTACTTGAAACACAAAGCATTGGAAAAACAAAATGTTTCTGTCCAGGGAACTGCACAAAAACATTGTGGAGCACACTGGTGAGCTCAGGTAAACAGACAGGAATAGCATCACAAAGACCAACTGTGACAACAGGAAAACCAAAAAAGATGTTAACTGTGCCCTAGAGGAAAGTGCAGGAAAATAAGACAGACATACTATCAGTGTAAGCGATACTTGTGTATAGAAGATGCAGTTGTCCTGTCTGAAGACTGCTTTGGGTGTGACAGTTGAAGCAAAGCTTATTTTTATGATAGAGTTCTATTAGTATTTTCATTGCAGTTCATATAGGAATTTATTTCTGATGTTATCTTTTAGGTTTCGTAAGCAAGTACAGAACTGATATGAAAATGTTGCTGTTTTAAACATACAATACATATTAAGAATTTAATAATTTATGTTACTGATATTTTCATATTGTTAACTACACACTGTATAATATAATAAGAACCTCCTGACAAAACAGCAAGACCACTGAGATGTCGTATATGTCCTACAAATACGTCATGAAAGCAAGGCATGTGCGGTCAGTGTGAGCCATGTATCTGGATAGAACATGCTGTTGTCATGTGTGCAGACTGCCATAGGTGTGATAATTGTGGTTTTTTTTTGTTTTTTTTGTTTTTTTGGTTTTTCTCCGGTACCGGGAAAACGACCTTGCGCTTGCTAGGCAGGCGCTTTTGCCGCTGAGCTAAATCCCCAGCCCCTGGTGTGATAATTGAAGTAAAGGTTTTTCTTTGTAAAGTGCTGTTGGGATTTTCATTGTCGTTCACATGGGAATTTATTTCTGATGTTCTTTTTTAGACTTTGTACACCAAAAAACCAGTCAGTGTTGAAAATTTTGATGCTTTTTTTATAAACCTTCAGTAAATATTAAAAACTCATTTTTTATTTTTTTCTGTTAAGTACTCATTGTTTAATATAATGAACTCATAAAAGTAAAATTAATAATTCATCAGGAAAATATTCTAAAGAATAAACATGAGTCTGTCAGTTGCAGCAAGGGCTATGGAACATAAGCAATCCAAAGCTTTTCAGAGGGAATAGGGATAGTTTGTTATAAGGTACTAAGATAACAAAGCAGCTTACTGAAATTTCATTGCGTGTTTTTTCTTAAGGTTAAGTCCAACATATTACTAACTTTTCATATTTTATCTTGGATTTTTAGGAAAGTGAATGTCTTTTCCCTTCAATAGTAGATAACTGAGGAAAAACTGAAAAGTATCCAACCCAGCTGACATCTTGTATATTTTTCTTTCTAAATATACTTCTTCATTGATTTCAGTATTACTGGGGTTTGAACCTAGGGCCTTCGCACTATAAAGTCACTCAAGACAAGGAATGCTGAAACTCTGAAACTCCTTATTTACAGGGAGCTTGTAAGAGCTCTCCTGGTTTTATTTTCCACACTTGTCATAAAAAAGAAACCCTTTCAAATATAAACACTTGAACAAACTGCACTGTATGCCTTGCGTGTGCTTGTGATTATGTTGGTTAGATTATAGGCTCTTAGAGGATATTGACTATGAGTTGTAATAGCCCTACTCTGAAGTAAACTGCATATAGGTGTCCCTTTCTTTAAAAAAAAAAAAGACTTTTTACCCTTTGTGCTCAATACTTTTCTGTATTTTACATACTTTGTGACAAATTTGTAAAGGAAATGTAATTGTCCTATATTCCAGAGGCTTTTTCCTAAACTGAATTTTTTTCTGATGTATTTGTTCTAAATTGAAGGTGGTTATTTCCTCTCCACAGGCCCAGATTGCCTTCCTTCAGGGGGAAAGGAAAGGTCAAGAAAATTTGAAGAAGGATCTTGTGAGGAGGATCAAAATGTTGGAATATGCTCTTAAACAGGAAAGGTAATTCAGTCCAGTGGAAGGTAGTGCTCTCTTAAATGTCAGAATAGTTTTTTCTTTATTCCTGAAATAAATCCAAACTTTAATACTCTATAGTCTTGAATTGAGAATATCTGCAATAAATATTTTGTCTGTGGTTTACTGTTTATTATGAATAGTTTAATTATAATGATAAATACACTGATTTATATGATTTAAAGCATTTTAGCAGCTTTTCCCCTGACTTTATCTTAATTAAGAAGTGTATGTACTTCCTGAAATATAAGTATGTGGGTTTTTTGTTTTGTTTTTGAGACAGTCTCTGCCACGTAGCTCAGGCTGGCCTTGAACTCATTGTGTAGCTCAGGCTCCCCTTGAACTCAGGACAAACCTCCCAAGTGCTGGGATTATAGGTGTGTGCCACCATGCTCCGTCAATATGCATGTCTTTATAAAGTTGAAAGTTTTTTTTTTTTAATTTTAAGTTTGTTTAAAAGTAAATGTAGGTGGTTCTAACTCCCTTTCATGTCATTTGTTACTCAGTTTAATGTAGTTTTTAATGAAATAAATTGTTTTGATAGATTATGCTGAGAATCCTTTTATGGACTAAATAAATAGAGGTCCTGCCTGTCTTTTACACACTTCGTGTGGTGTGTGTGTTATTCCTTTACTTTCAGCTTTTTTTTTATCTCTCCAGAAGCTAATCTTACCTTCCAATTTTGCACGTGTCCAAAATATTCAACTACTTTGGGGTCACAAGTACAGGAAAATAGGGCATGAATGAGTTTTGGAAATTTACTTTAATGGATGGTCTTAGGATTTTCTGGTCAGCGATCAGACAATTCATTATTTTAGATAGTGTTTGGTATTTGATACTGACATTCTCTATATTTTGCTACTTTTTTGCTTTGTTTTTAATGCTCACTCATTTTTCTCAAGTTAACAAATGGGCTGTTTGTAAAGTTACCATAAAAATATAAGATCTTTAAATTGTACAGGGATTTTTACCTCATAGTGAAAAATAGGTTTTGTTTTGTTTTGTTTTTAATATCTTGAGAGGTGGTTTGAGAACCATACTGGGAGATGATTTTTAAAAAGTTGAATTTTGGGGGTGTGGTAATCAAGAATCGCACTCAGGACCTGACACTTGCCAAGCAGGTGCTGCACCACTGAGCTTAAGTCCATATCAAAAGTTGAGATCTTAAGCTGACTAAATTGTAGGTTTAACAAAAGACAGAATAACAGCATTAATAATAACAACTATTTATTGATTAGCTAGTGTTTACCAGGTGCCAAGGATTAAGATTAAGTAATTTAAACAGCTATAGTAGAGCTAAGGGTCAGATTCCTCAGGACTGTCTATTGTGAAGCCTGTACTGTTTGCCAGTATTCAGTATTAAGCTGTCTTGTAATACAGAATAAATGAAATATGCAGATACAAAACAGGGATATTGTATGTGGGTGTGCTTGTATGCAAGTGTGCATATCCAAACTTGTAAACCACAAAACTCGGGTGAAGTGTGATGGGTGCTATCATAGAAGTATGTAGAGAGTACATGGACAGTGGGGTCACAAAGAAGGGGGTGGGTATTACCATCTAGAAGATGGAACTATAAAAGAGGCCATAGAGGAAATAAAACCCAAGCATCATCATAAATAAGGTGCTTGCCAGTCAGGTATGATATAGAAGTAGAGACCTGGTGCAAAGTTGTGTAGTATGCTCAAAAATTTGTACTCATTGTGTGAGAAGATAGGGTGTTGTGATTTGATGCTATTGAAAGGTTTTAAAGCATAAAATAGTGTGAAATATGTTTAGAGCAATCACCCTGATCTCAGTTTGGGTGCTGTACTAGAAATATCTGTTAATATAGGCAGGAAGATTCAGTTTAAGATGAGGAATGATAACAGTAGCTGCAGAAACAAAGGTTTCACTTATAAGTCATTTTAAATAGAGATAATCTGTAAAATTTTGAGATGATACAAAAATGTGGAGATGGCATAAAAGATAAGGGAAAAAGATAACTCAGCAATTGCTCCCAGATGGGATTTGAGATAGAACAAGTATGATGGAAAGAGGAGAACCTATAGGAAATAGAAATGTTTGAGGAAAAGACAGGAAGAAAAACCAATAAAGTAGAGAGCCAATATTAGTAGAGAAGGAAGGAGACAGCAGTAGTTTGGAAGCAAAGTAACGAAAAGGGAAGGAGTCAGACAGTTGCAGATGCCAAGCAATCTTCACGTAAATTGTGTCCTGAAAATAGTCACTTGGATTTGCCAGTTGGGAATTTGTTGGTATCCTTGCCAGAAAAACTTCAGTGAGTTAGCAGAAACGTATGCCACATCCTAGGGATATAGAGTGAGAAGGGTAAAGTGGAGGCAGATTTAGTCACTTTTCCCTGAAAAAGTTTGACTTTGAAGAACACAAGAGATAAAGAACTGGCTGAGTCTAGGGAACATTCCTCTTTTGTATCTTTGGATTTCATGGGAAGATTTGGGATTACTCCTGAAATAATTGTACTTTTAAAATGTAATAAATTATGGAATTAAAAAAAAAAATTTCTTTGTGGCTTGGAGTTCTAAAACATTTCAGTACTCTTTATTCCAAAATCTTTTTTCTAATGTTTTAATATTAGGACTTTAAAAAAAAAAAATTGGAGCTCTAAAACAATTTAGTGCTTTTCATTTTAAAATTACTTTCCAAATGCTTTAATGCCAGGATTTGGGAAAAAAAAATTGTTTTTGTTTTTTTGAGACAAGGTCTCGCTGTGTAGTTCAGGCTGGTCTTGAACTCATAATGTAGTCCAGGTTGTCCTTAAAAGCGATATCTTTCTGCTCCATTTCTCCAAGTGCTAGGGTTATGGGTATATAGTACACTACCCGTCTGAAGAATATTTTTGTCGTTCTTGTTTCATTTTGATTGATTTTACAATAAATTTCAGGCATTTTGTCCTTTCACCTGTGTACACCGAAGACCAGTAAGGATCATCGTATTGCATTGCTTTCGAGTTTTTAAGTAATCCTACTTTAAGTTCCAAATTAAATAAAAACAATCTTTAACCTAATAGAGGGATTACTCACTTAGCAAGGGATTTATCAAAGCATCTTTTAAAGGTGGTAGAACTCACAAAAGAAGAAAATTTGCACATGAATTTTCAAGAAACAGTGGTAAACACCTGTAATCCTAGCATGCAGGGAAGTGCAATCAGGAGAATCACAAGTTTTAGTGTAGCCTGGGCAACTTAGTGACTTAGTAAAACCCTGTCTCAAAAAAGACTTTCTTTTAAAAGGACTGACGATTTATTTAGCTCCATGTGAAGGTTCTGGGTACTGCAAAATAAACAAAGGAAAACAGAAGGTAACCCTGTAATATGAGAATTATTCAGGAAATTGTATTCTGAGGAACCACAAATACTATAAAATACATTGTGAAACAGTTTTTCCCATGTTTTCCATTTCTCTGCATTCACTGCCACTTTTATCTATACTACGGTAAGAACCCATCTGGCTTCCTTGCCCTAATATTTCCATATTCCAGTTCACCTTCCATGACCACAGAATTCATTTTGTAAACACAAGAGGAATAATCATATTATGTTCCTGCTTTTAAAATACTTGGCTAATTTCAGTTATTCCTTTGCAACCAGGCCCAACACATTTGGATACTAAACACATTTGAGTTTTATAATGTTGTGTATTTTCCATTTCTGTGATATTCCTGAAAGAAACAGCCTCTCTATCCATCCATTTATGTGGCTGGAAAACTAATGTTTTTGAAGATTTAATTAAAATCTCATATGTTTCCTTCTTTTTATTAGCTGTATTTGATACTACTTTTGGCAGAATTAGATAATCCTTAACTACATTCCTATAATGCTATAACTCTTAATCCCATCTTTTTATTTACATTCCTGTCTCTCTAAGCATCTTCTTGCTTCTGCCCTCATCTAACTACACGCTGTAGTTTTTTCCCAGTAGCCAGCATACTACCTGCCACATCATAGTAGTTTGATGATTATTCCTTGAAGTTAATCATTATTTTTAATGAAAATGTGATTTGGCGTACTATGTTATATTTCCAGCACATTATGATAACAATAGGCTTTAAAACAAAGTGAGATTTTTTAGTTCATTAAACTGGTCTTGAGTTTAATTGGCTCAAATGCATCTCCTGTTTTAGCCTCAAAAGGAGCTAGGACTATAGAGGTGCATCACCACACCTGGCTTATTAAAAACTTTAATTTATCCAGTAAGGCCAATTGCGGAGTCTAGCTGTATGTTAAACACAGCAGTGTTAGATACGAGATCTGATTTTTTGTCCTGTAGTCAGAATGACACAGAAAAAAAAAATAGTGAACAAGAAAGATTGGTAGGCTGAGGAGAGCTGGTCTTAAAACAGTGGGAAACAATATGAGTGAGTCTTTTAGCATATTCAAAAAGAATGTTAGCATGCTAGAGGAGGGCTCTGTGATTAAAGTACTTTTTAGCAAGTACTTTGTCAGTAGGGAGACCTTGATATAAGGGCCCATTGCTTGTAGTAAAGACAACTATTCTTTACATACTTAGTTCTTACCTAATTTTGTGTGAAATGTTATGCAAAATTGATAATGTTATTACTTTTAATTTTTATTTTGTAAATTCTGTTGCAGTTTTTCCTGAAACCACTAGAATGCACTGTAATGCAGTATGTGTTTGAAAATTTTTTATTTATATAAAATTTAAATAAATTTCTTAAAATTTTATTGTTACTCATTTAAAAATGTTTAGTACAATCAACATTATACTCAGGCCAATTATATTCACTTGCTATTTTGACTTCAAAGTAGATATTATTTTGTCTTCTGGTCCATGTTTTCAGAAAATATGAAGAATGACAATCATTAAGAATCTTATTGCCGGGTGTGGTGACACATGCCTGTAATCCCACCACTTGGGAGACTGAGGCAGGAAGATCGCCGTAAGTTAAAGGCCAGCCTGGGCTACATAGTGAATTTAAAGCCAGCCTGAGCTATATGGCAAGACTCTGTC